AAATAAAAAAAAAAAAAAAAAAGAATCATCTTAAGTAAGACAATAGATAATAATTATTTACTATAATGATTATTTATGATTATTACTTTCCTTTTTCTTTTTTTTTATTTTATTTTTATTTTTTCCTAATTGTTTCAGATATTATTTAAAATCTTATTCGTTCTAACAAATTTCTATTAAGAGTAATACATTTTTTTTTAAAGTTTTCGATTATGCTTGATTTTCAAAAAGAAAAATAAAGATCTTTTTTTACATAAGGTAATTAACTATATTTGATTGTTAACGTCAACTGAAAGGAATTTAAATTCCGTATTATTTGAAAATTTTTTTTTTTAAGGAAAAATAGAATAATAAAATAGAATAATAAATATATATGACATACTACATAACTAAGCATTATGCATCACCTGACTAATTGTCGCATATAATAGATATATTTTAAGTATTTTTTTGTGACAATTAATCTTTCTTCATAAAAAATTTTATTATTTTTTGAGACAAAGAAAAAAAAAAAAAATTTTTTTTTATATTAAGGTAAACCATAAATTCCTTAAACAAAAAATTCCACAAAGGAAAGAATTTGAAAGAAAAAAATCACGAGAACCGAAAAGTCAGTCATGGTTATGATGAAAATGTTTAAGTGCATGTTACACAAACCAACAATAACAAATAGATGTTTTTCCGTAAAAAAATTTTACCAAGGTATTAAGAGGGTTCACATGCTAATCATACCCTCTTGATTTTTATTCATGTAAAAAAATTTTGTACTTGTGATCCATTTGTTTATTCAGTTGACCAAATCGTTCAATAATGCGCTTAGCTTAAATCTAGATATTTCACACGAATGATACACGCATGTCAAGTGACAAAAAAGACGTTGAATGAATGAACCAAAAAAATTAATAGATAACGTAACGTATATTATTATTTTCTCAACATACCATGCAGCCATGCAGCCATTTCTCTTACTATTCTCAGTTTATCCGAGCATATCAAATTGATAAGCGTATATAAAATTTGACTCATATATGAATATATAAAATATAATAGATTCATTATTCATATATACTGTATATTCATTTAACCATATTATTGAAACCCATGACCTTTTCATTTCAGCCTTAACAAAAATTTTCATCCAATAAAAATCGATTAATCACTGATATTTGAACTAATAAAGGTATGTACCCGATTACTCATGTGTCAGCTTATTAAGAATTATTATCTAAAGATTCCATGCGTTTAACGAAAAAAGTGTTAGGTATCATTTTTATAGAACTAAAAAAGGAAATCATTAAAGGGTAATTTAAGTCATTTTTGTTTCTTCTATCAACCCCCAAATTCAGCATTTTGCATCGTTTCACAAACTCAAGTGTGAAAACCTAAATAACCGATCATTGAAACCTTTCTTTAATAAATTTTCATTATCACACACAAGTATTTTGATGTGATATTAAAATGATATCTCTTTTACTTTCAAATCATAAATATATTAAATTAACAAATATGGATTATGTATGAAAACGCGGGAAAAAGATCAAATCTATCAAATTCCTTGTTTTAATGAAAATGAAAGTCATTCCGGGGTTTCAAAAATTATATAAATATAGTAAAAAACACAATGTGAATAAAAAAAATCTGTTTAATTAAAATGTTATATATATTAGATATTAGTTAACATTTGTTAAATTTCAAATATTAAGAATTTTCATTAAATTTCAAGCACAAGTATAAAAAAATTTTAAGGGGGCAAAAATGCCGTCTTACGTAATATTAGTCATCAAATATTATTCTTAGATGATGTTCAGGTGGTAAAACGAAAAAAAAACAATCATACCATGATATAATTTCATAAATGAAAATTAATCAACAAAAGTTTTGAAAATCCAAATCGTACAGTAACTTTAAAAAAAAAAAAATTTTTTTTAAAAAAATTGATTGACTGTACATTTAATTAATTTCTCGTAAATCTAGTTAAACCCCAAAACTTTGTCTTATTCAATTAAAAATTTTGCGCCGACATATTTGTTTTTTGTCCCTGCATAACACCAAAATCAGCTGATTTCATATAAACATTGAAATAAAGAATAAAATTTCCACGTATCTGCGCACGTTTATTTTTAAAGTTGCTTCTTTCAAAAAAAAGAAAAAAGTAAGAATAAAAAAAAAAAACAAATAAATAAATAAAATTAAATGAAAATGAAATGAATTATAAATAAATAAATAAAAACTTAAAATCTTTATAAAAAAAAGTATAAAATATATATACTGTATATATATATATATATGTTCCTCCCTGCTTCATCTACGGAGCCTCGAATTTAGCTGAAAAAAGTAATATGTCAATGAGGGCCACTAAAAATTTAATTCCAGATGTATAACATGTATAACATATGGCTTATTACAGTTATTGTTCTCCCATTGTAGGCCCTTTGGCTTTATTCCGAGTATTTATCTATTCGTTTCACAATTTTTTATTACAAAGACGCGATTAGTAAATAATTACAATGAAATTGAATACAATAACACAATAAGATACTCGAATTCCAAGTTTCATTTAATTGGTCTGAAAAATATTCCCCAAATTCTGAGATGGTTGAGTCATCATTATTGAGATAAGATTTGGTACAATATATTCGGAAATTGATTATAATTAGTCCCCATCCTTATATTAATATTATTTGTAACATCCCGGATTTAACAATTCCGATTAAAAATTTAACTTTTCTGGAACTTATAATAAAAAATAAAAAAAAAAAAAAAAAAGGCTTACAATTTATATAACGATTGGTAAAAATGAAAATTAAATGAAAATTCCGTTAAATAACCAAATTTTTTTCAATATTTCATTTCTTTATATTGGGAAGAATAAGGATGAGAGTGAGAAAAAAAAATAGATGATGTAAATCATATCTTATCCATATTAAGAAGTTCAAATAAACATCTTGGATTGTTATTACAATGATTTTGATTCTGGAGATCACAAATATTCATTTACTAATAAATTGGGACCAATTTTTTACAAGTATTAAAAATGACTCCGTCGTTTTATTAAAAGATAATGATTTAAGTGGGATAAAATTTTCATTGTGAAGCTTTCCCTATTTAGTCGTTCGTCAAAGAAAAATGTACTAATAATAATGGTTATTTATTCCTTAAAAAAGTATTTAAGATTAAGTTAAATAGCACTTAATAACAAAGAGCGCAGTCCGAAAGAATTATACGAAAAAAAAAATTTCGTGTAAAAAAATTTTCAATGATGATCAGCAAATCTTTAATTTAATTGGCTCAATCTTCGACGCCAGTTTTATTCTTTCATCTTGAATGACACAGAAAAAAATTCTTACCAAAAAAAAAAAAAAGAAAAAAGTTCTTGAATGAATTTTTTTCTCGTGCAAATAAAATTTTGTCATTTGCGTAACTTAAATATTACGCGATGAAATTGTATGGGCTTTACCTTTTTTAAATGACAAAACCACTTTGTACTTAACCTTTTTAAATCATAAAGACTGTACACTTTTCCCTTTTTAAATAATAAAGACATCGTTCATTTCCTTTTTACTTTCTTTTGAATATCACAATAGTGTTAGTACAAATCAAACGCGTAGTTTCTCACCTGAAATAATTGATTATCTACGATTTTTTGAGTAAATAAAGTAAAATGATAAAAATTTCATTAACGTATTTTACTTTCACATACGCTTCATTTTTTTTTAAAAAAAATTAAGTCATAAAATTATATAATTGCATAAAAGTACAAATTATGTGTGTAAGATCAAAATACGATTTAATTATAATATACTATTTATACTATTGGTTTGCTTTTTTTTTTCAAATTATAATACGCCAAATGACTCTTTACATTCTTTCATATTCCTCGTTTATTAAAAATGTCGCAATTAGAACTCCGATTAAAATATTTTTACGAAAATCAAATTTATGTTACAATTATAGTTGTCTTATAAAGAATGAACTCGTTTATTATATGAGTTCAATTAATTATAAAAAGAAGTAAAAATCTCTCGAGTTTTTGCACATCGAGAAATATAATTAAAATGACTAGTAAACCATATTCTAGATCAAATAATGGTGTAAGACTTCCACTTGCTTATTTATATCTCCAAAACGATGTTTATTATTTTTATCTTGAGGGCCATCCAAATCATGTTACTTTCATTATCCCGACGAAATTTCAAGTCCTAGAGTCATGTAAACCAACTTCAAAAAAACCTCCGACTATTTATATCATTTTTCGTAATCCTGTTCAAAAATGTTTGAGGCAATTAAGCCTCAAATTTGAACGAAAAGACGTATCTAAAATTTCATCAGATCTCTGGCGAAGAATTGATTCCAATTTAAGAACAAGATTTGAAAACCTTTATCATCAAACTATCGAAGAATGGCGTAAAGGAAGACTCATATTTGAGTTTTTCAATCCTTTGATTGCTGAAGCTGAATCATGTATGTACCAATTTATCAAACATTAATAGTCTTTTTCTAATTATCTAATTATTATTTTTATAATAATAGCCGCAGAACACGAACAAAACAATTCTGATTCCCCAGACCCCAATTCCCCGGATTCAGTTTCAAGCTCTGTCGAATTTGAAAACAAATTATCATATCGTGAGAATCAAGTCGTTATCGGTGAATTGTTTGGATGGGGTTACGTCCCTCTTATCTCGGGTTATAATAAATATTTGGAAAGTCCTTAATGTCATTTGCAAACATACAAAACAAACACACTCCTTTTTTATTTCCTAATTTTCTTTTCTGTAAAAAATGCATATACACACATTTATTATTTGATTTATTTATTTTATTTTATTTTATTTTTTTTTTTTAAAAAAAAAAAAATAAGAGTTGAAGGTACTTTCGTACGAAAAAACTAATATATGTGTGAAGATCTCATAAATTCATCCCATATNTTTTTTTTTTTTTTTTTTTTTTAAAAAAAAAAAAAATTCGTTGAGATAGCTGCTATTATCGGTTTTTATTTATCACGCAAAAATATTATTATTTCGAAGGTACCATTTTTCTTTTTTTATTTTCGTAGTAATTTGTTTTTTTAAAAACAATCGAACCCCGTTTTTTATTTAAAAAATATTTATTTATCGAGTAAAACTATACAGTATATGTAAAAACTTAAGATTTTTTAACATAAGGCATAAGAATAATTAAGTATGGAATGAAATTAAATAATAAAGAATAAACTTTTTCGAATAATTATAAATAAATGTTATTGGGTAAAGGGTTAAATTATCGGTCGAAGGTCGATATCCAATGTGTAATATAAATTGGTCACTGCGGTGACCTATAATAGGAATTAATGCTGCTAAAATGCCAACATTATTAATTCGCATATTCCTAATCGCCATTTCTTTTCGAGAATCTGTGGTACTAGTACGATCACGTTCAGAACTTGCGAGGATTGATGATTCACCCCTAGTAAAAATTGCAGTTAGTTAGTTAATAAATATTTCTGCAATTTTAATCTTTTACTAAATTAATAAAAAATTACATTATTTATAATAAATTGAAAAGGAATTTTCATAAAAGAGTGTAAGTGGATAATAAAATATTTTGTTTAGTAAAACATTCGTTTTTTAATAATGTTTTTCTTATATTATCATAATTGAAAAATATTTTTAACTTATGGCTTAAACTTTTTAAATTGTTAAATTTAATCATATCTTATGTGCTTAAAATATTTTTTTTTAAAGCTGAAAACTTTATGTTCTTTTATATTTGAATTTCATGTTAATCTCTTTGATTGATGCTATTACTACGTTCTTAAAGTATCTAAAAATAATTTTAAAAGATAGAAAACAATTTCTGTGAAAAAAAATAAAAAACAAATTCACAAAAATTATTATCGCGGAATAACTTTTTAATTATACGTATTATATCCGTATTTTAATCGTAAGAAATGTTACATAATAAACAATGCCAAGCAATATATATATATATTTCCAAGAATTTTAAATTTCGAAAATTAATAAAATGGTGATTCATTTTGTCAATAAATTTTCTAATAATTTGTTCTCAATCGATTTTAAGATTTTAATTACCTGATTAATTTATACGAGATCCGGTTTTTTTTTTGACCATATTTGAGTTATCTGATGAAAATTGAAAAATTTAAGTATTCATTTTATTAATCTTTACTTATTTGTTTATAAATAATTACTAAACGTTACATTGAAATTTCACTTATAGATAGATAAATATTAATAAATCACCTCACCATATGCAAATAAACCTTTCTTTTTTATCCATTCCGTATGGCTAATACATAAAACCGTATACTGTATGTACCGTATGAATGCTATATACGAAAATACTGTATGCGTGAATTCGAAGTTTTCCCATCATTAAATATTTATTGTATGCTTTCAAAATAAAAAATACTTTTTGTGCGATGCAGCATCATTCTCCATTATTTACAAGAGACATTCCGTCTTGTTGAATTTTTTCGTAATTGATACATAATAATTTTTCATTAAACTATCTGGACCAATCAAAATTGTTCACAACTGACTGTATGTACAGTAAATCAGGCCACTTAATCCGGCATGAATGTATCAGGTTATCAGCATCAGTTATTAGATATAGGAATGTTTTTTAATCTTTTAACAATATTTAACATGGAATTATTTCGAACCCAATTTTTCATTAGTAATTTTTTTTATTAAACAATTAAATTATTAAATTTTATACTTCGTTGTCTTAATTAATTTCTATCAAAATTTTTATTGGACAGCTATTTTTAACCTTTTGCATTACTATTATTTCTATTTTGATAAAATTAATATATATATATATATATATAATGTACAAAAAAGAAATCTACTTATTTTTAATGATCAAATAAATCGAATTTTCTAAAGAACTTATTATAGTATTATAAAAAAACTTCTTTGTTTTAATTACTGTATTTGTTTTAATTATTTCGGAGTTTTCCTCTTTGATTTTTTCTTTTTTTTCGTATTACACCGACAGTACATAAATATTTACATTTAAATTTTTTATGATTGTAATGGTTTTTTTTTTTCTTTCATGCTTATAATAATTAATAGGCGTTCTTTTTTTTTTGTGCTATGCACACAATTATATTATAGGTCACTCGTTTATCGTTGATGGTTACAAAATTAAACACCGCATAAAATAAAATAATACCATTTTTTTTTCGATTGTACTTTTTACAACAACGAAAGTTTGTTGTTAGCTTGTAAACAAAAGTAAATACTTATTTATCCTGATTCAAAAAAGAAAGGTGATTTAAATTATCACGTGATGCTGATTTCCCAAAATTACTGGCACGTGATCAAAAAAAATTTACAGATCATTTCCAAAAATAGATGATAAAAATTTCATATTCTTTTTTTCAAATGAAACAGTAAAAAGTTTTTAAAATCCTATACGCATTTTTTGCTTTTTCTGCAAGTTTACTTAGAGAAAAAAATGAAGATTTTGAATACCAATTTCTTAATAAAGTTAATAAAGTCAACTTTTACAAAATTCAATATAGAAGTTAAAAATGGAATTCATAACCTCCTCTTTTAACCATAATCAAACTTGAAAAGAAGGAAAAAATCATTCCCTATATAACTGATAAGCAATAATTTAATAGTTATTGTCATGTAAAAAAAACCAAATTTTCGATAAATTTCTCTAGCCATTTTTAGTTATTATCGGCAAAAAGATCACGTGCCAATAATTTTTTGGTGGTTACGCTGGAGAAGTTATGCGCCAATAAAAATTTATTTAAATTTCCGGATTGTATAATTCAGGCCCTTATATAAGTGTCTGCTCATCGGGCCATTTCTAGTGTCTAATAAATAATGGTTTATTTAGTACTAATATGATAATAAGACCTGAATTATTATCAGTGCTACGTGATAGAAACGGGCTTATACAGATGGAAATCTTGTTATGAAGAACCACTAAGTTCAATGGATTTACAGTACAGCAGTATATCGCGAAGGATGTTAACTATAAAGGTGCGATATAAAATTATTATGTTCGTTATATTACCTCTACTGGAAAGATTATCAAACGAATTTTAAGTGGTTCATATTATAACTCTAACCCCGCAAATATACCAAATATACCAAGTATATAAAGTAATTTAAATTGTTTTGATAATAGTATAATATAATTCTCTCAGAGTGTCCGCTGATCAGCTCAGCTGATAAATCGACATAATATGAGAAAAAGAAATCTGTTATGGTCTTATTAATTAGTTTAATTTGCGTAAAGGATTTACGGATTTACGTATACAGTACATAGTCTTTTAAATTATGTTCATCTCAAATCTTCATTTGGACTATTAAAAGAAAATATTTATTAAATTCATATTAATTTTATTTATTATTTATGTGCTTAATTATCATCACAATCAAAATTTTTTTTTTGTGATAAAAAAAAATGATTTAATTAACAAAATCAGTTTTTTACAATAAAATAATTAAAATATCATATTGTGATTTACTATATTTGTTTGGTCATTTTGAAGATGGCAACGTGGTGAAGTGCATAAATCCTATAATTTCGATATATTTGACAAAACCAATGTTTTAATTATATCGATAATACAATTTTTTTTATCAAAAATCAAAAAATTATATTTAGATTGTAAAATTACTAATAAATAAATCTATCGAAATTCATAAGATGATCTTCTGCGCACTTGGTGCTGGCCGAGACTAATTTAATGCTGGCCAACGTTAGGATGATATTGGCTTATTTGCGAATAAATAAATATGGCTGATTTTATAAAAATCCGACTTCGTTATTGTAAAATCGCGAAATTTATAACAAAATTGATATATTGTAATAAAATTAATTATAAGTTGATTGCATTTAAGAAAAATTCGGTATGAACCAAAATCGGTTTATCCGAATCGTTATATCAAGTTCTGGTTGTATTTTAAATTACCATATCCTAAAAATAAAAAAGGTGCAACTTTTTATCCTATTAGTAGGTTTTTCAGCGGGGTTGATATGACGTGACTGACGTGTGCTCTAATTTATTAGAGAGTCGATTATGTAGTAGTGTCTCAAACATAGGTAGATTTATATAGGAACTAGATAGTTTATTAGACACTAGACAGAAACATTATTGTATAACTTAATGCAGTGTTGGCATTTGGCCGGCCAAACTGGCCAAAAAATTCTTGCCCGCGGTCAAATGCCAACATTGACTGTCTTAATGTATTGTTATTTACGTAAATATTTGTTTTTAAATAAAGTTTGCAATATTAACTGCAAAAAATATTTAGAACCAACAATTATATTTGATTAATATGAATGCATTCAATTGTCATAACGGAAAACAATGAGAGTATTGCTAATTATCCCATCGGTATTATGTATACACCGATGGATTTTTTTGTAAATTATTCCACCGGTATAAAAAAAGTATAAAAAGTATAAAATTCATCGGTGTATACGCCATACACAATGAGATAAACCTGTTATTCCATGGGTATCTAATAAATACTCCATATACACCGATGCTTCCCTCCCTTCGAGGGAGTTCCAAGGCATCGGTGAATATTTCAGTTATTCATTGATACCCATGGAATAACAAGTATATATCACCGCTGGTGGTTGTCACCTTACCAGATTTAGGGTAGAATTTTGGGCAGAATTAAAAGTGTCATGAAACTCTGCCCGTTAATATTTTCTAATGCTGGTGCGGTGAGAATCACTTACGGTGAGATTTAGCAATGCCCAAACAATAATAGACAATAATATGTAATAATATCTCTAAAAACATATTTAATTAACCTATTTTTGAACAATAAATATTTATACGTTTCAGATAAAATATAATTGGTGAGAACTTATATAAACAGTTCTTTTTTCCCTCATCGATCACATCAATAAAATAAAAAAATAATCTACGTATTCAATAAATATTATCATATAAAATGAAACTCTTAAACATCCTCCTTATCTTTTCACTCTATTTATTTGCATTATTCTATAATACTCAATCATCTCCAACTTATCTTGGTATTAGTAAGATTTCGAAACGTACTAACGCTAATGTTGTCAACGATCTTGGTATTAATCCTGATCCTAAAAATGGTGGCATCTCTAAAATTTTCGATTCAAAAACATTAATTGATCCTAATAAAGTTCACGAACTTTCCGTGAAACCTTGAAGTATTTTTTAGAAGTTAAAGAAATTTCGTTAGTGAAAAAAAAAGGAATGTTTATAAATGTTTATAAATTTTTGTAACCATTTTTTTAAAAAAATAAATTAAACCAAATTTATTTCAAAATTTGTTCCATAAACATGACTTTAACCCATGATAATCCTTTAAGCTGATTTGTTAATATTCGTTATTGTAAACTGTAAAGAATGTATAAAATTTCATTTAGTTATATGTGGAGATACAGGTTCACATTGTAAGATTTAGCGTAAAGAATAAAACAAGTATTCATACGATATATTTTTCCGTATTTATTGATTCCACTTGATCAAATATTTTCGTTTTAATTACATAAATCATAAAACGTAACTAATTAGAAATATTTAGAATATTCGTGATTTTTCAAATTAATCGAAGAAAGCAGAAAGCTTAATTAAATCGCCACACCCGCTTTAAGGTAAAAGATTAAACTATTTGTGGGTAAAATCAATTTATAGCCTTATTTTCTTTATAAAGACGACAAAGAATATAATTCTTAAAATGGTTGTTATTTTTTAAATTATTGTAAATATAAGACGTGAAAGAAGTTTAATAAATTACGTGTCTAAAATTATAATTAAATTAACATCGAAGTTATCCAATAAAAAAAAAAGGACAAATATGACTTAATTTGACACTCCTCCAGTCCTCATACATTTAAACTAACCAAATATTATATACAATCTCGGATATCAAATAGCCATTGCTAATCTAACCTAAGTAAGGTAATGAGGATCCGGCATTACTAAAGCCGAGTTATCCGACATTAATTTTTCTAGCCCTATTCGTAATCAACATACGTATACAGTATACGAATTTAAATTTAATAATCGTCTTGAATTTCTAAAAAAAAATAATTGCATTTAGTCGTAATTTTTATTACGAGTATCATTGCATTGTGTACGTCATATCATTATTCAAAATTTTCCGTAAAATTCGTAAAATTGTAATTTGTAATAATTCGTAAGCAATTAAACAATTGATAACGTACTCTACGATTTATTATAGTGAAAAAAAAGTATATATAGAGAACGAAATTATTTTCTCAAAAAAATCAAAAAAAAAAATACAAAAAACTTTTCTTTAAAAAATAATTCTTTTATAAATATCTCTTGTGATTCATACCTTTTAAAAACCTTTTTTAACAAAATGACAAGCATTAAAGTAGCTTACCAATCAACAGTTCGTCGTTTTCCCATTCCTAATAACATAACTTGGTTAGATCTTGAATCCAAAATTCAAGAATTATTTTCTTTACCATCTACTTCAAAATTTTCTCTTTCTTATACCGATGATGAAGGGGATGTTATCATTTTATCTACTGATTTAGAACTTCAAGAATTATTATCATCCAATTCTATGTTGAAATTTGTTCTTGTTCCTGATGAACAACAACCTCTTGTAGCTAATACTTTCTCAAGTAATACTTCAGAAAATGAGTTTATTACTGTTGAAAAAGAAAAACCTATTCCTGACAACGTTTCAGAAAAAATGGATATAAATGATGCGGCTGACGAACCTTCTTTTAAACCTACAATTCCTTCAATTTCAAAAGGAAAACAGAAAGAAGAATCACCTGCTGAATCCTCAACGAGTAAACATCAACAGGAAGAAAATCAACCTTCTTCAGATAATAATAATAATGAACAACGAGCTCCATTTATTGAATTAGCCGAACAATTTCAAGAATTAATTGATCAATTTAAAGATGTTTTCTCAAAAAATCCTCAATTAACTGACCAAGCTAATAATGTTATGGATCAAATTTTACGAAATGTTCCAGTAGATATTAATCAATGGGCTCAATGGTTAAACACTTTCCGACCTGAAGGGGATGATCAAACAACAAATGCTCAAAGAGATGAATCTAATAATTCTCAACATCAACATAATAATCAACAAGGTGGATTCCCTTCATTCTTTCCACCTCCTCATTCTTTATTATCAAATCCTTATATTCAAAGAATTTTTCAAGATATTAATGCTAACTATCCAGGAGGATTCGGTAATTTTGAAAATTTTGCAAGACCTACAGGATTTAACGGACCATGGAATTTCAATGGTGGCTGTCCATATCGACAACAACAGCGAGAAGAATTGAGTCAAGAAGAATTAAAAGAAAAGATTAATTTACTTCATTCAATGGGATTTTGGGAGGATGATGTAAAAAATGAAGAATTATTAAAGAGATATAATGGTAATATTGAAAGAGTAATTGAAATTTTAATTAGAGAACAAACTGAAAGAGTAAATAATAATTTTTATAATTCCATGGAAAATGTTGTTGTTAGTCAATAACAAAGTTACATTTATTACATTTTTATTTTTATTTTATTTATCATTTATTTATTTTTTGCATGTAAGAGTTTATTTTATATATATATATGAATAAATTTAATAAAATTTCGCATTTTAAATTTAAAATGAGAACGGGAAAACTTTAAATTTTATTATATTAAAACATATTAATTATAGTATTAAAAAAAATTCATTAGGTCGTTACTATTCTTAAATTAAATTATCTTTTGAAAATTACAAGAAATCAATCCTTGTATCATCAAATAAAAAATTATTAAAAAGCGGATAAATAAACATTAAAAATGAACAAAATTCATCAAGATTTAAAAAATTCATTTAGGAATTTTACCATCCTCAAAATTAATACCACATTTTACAGCAACAAACGTTCTAAGCTGATCCAATTTAGCTTGATCAATACCGAATGATGCCAAAATTTGTCGAGCAAGATCACTTTCTTTCGCAGTTATAAAATTAAGGAAAGTGTTGACTATAGCCTTGTTACATTTGGTACAAACTGCGGAGGGATCAGAAACTGCAACTGCATCGAGAAGTTTATCACCAGTAACTTTAATTGGCGATGGTGGTAATTTTATGACCGTAAGTATGCTTTCATCCCAGCAGAAAGCTTTATCAAATTGGAAGCACATGATATCATGAATTGGAGAATAAAATACGGCAGCATCAAATACCATTACAATAAATTGATTCTTTTTATCTAAATCTTCTTTGCATCCATCTTGAATAATTTTAATAGCACCCGCAACATCTGGATCACTACACTTAGGAACGGGACAAAATGCTGTTGAAAAAGCTTGTAACGGTGTCTCAAGAGGAGGAAAATTCTTAACTGGATCGGCTATAAAATTTTTTATAATGGAGGGATCGGTTACAAGTGGTAAAAGAGGTACTAATGATGCTATCGGTATACACTTAAGAAATTTTGGATCAGTGACAAGACCAAGTAGAGCAGATTGACATTTTTGCGAGAGATCTCCTAAAACGCCACCAGGAACATCAGCAAGAATTTGTTCAATTTGAGGTAAACCTTTTGAAGTCGAATGTGCAGTCACATTAGATGGTGTAGGAGGACTTTGTGGAAGAGCCAATCCTAAGCTCGCTGCAGCAAGGAAGGTTGTAATAAAGAGTGTTACTTTCATTTTATGAAAACGGAAAAGGGAATGTTAAATTTTTTTTCTTTTATCAAAAAAAAAAAAAATATCTGCTATCAAACGAGCTGTAGGAAAATTATTATTTTTTTTTTTGATGTTTTTTGTTCACAGGAAGTTTTAATTTTCAAGAAACTTTTCGTGACGCTTATTTATAAAGTTTCGTGTTATTGACGTTGATCCATAGCTCTAAGAATTCATTCACATGAAACAATTTTAGAAAGAACGTGAAAATCTGTCACTTACTTCATATGATTAAATCGCGCTGATTTATTGGATGTGTTGTTGATCTGATTGTCTATATTATACTGAAAATGGGTTCTAATTAAAAAATTAAGGAACTTATCTTCCTGTGATTTTGATTTTTTTTTTCGCCTCATATTTCCGATAATGAAATTTCACAAGGGAGAGGATTTTTTTTAATTATAAGCCAAAGAGTAAAATTTGAATACATCTGAGTGTCGTCATGATTATGATTAATTAATATAAACAATAAAAAAATTTTGGAATGCCCATCCTCATAGCGAAATTACAAGTTTAACTCTTAAACAGATAATACTGATAGATTGTTTGTCTATACGTAAATCGTTCCGATGATAGATTTAAATTTCTGGTATAACGGAGTGTTTATTTAGAATTATGTTAAGGTTAAAATGATTCATTTCTTTTATAACACAATTAAATTTTGTCCGAGTATAAAAATAAAAAACACATAATGTACATTTTAATTTATTTCGTAGATGAATTACTTCTACGTTTCATGTTTCAAAACACCATATGGTTACCATATATTAAAGAATGTATAATACCCCATGTTAATCTCCAAAATTAAGTTAAATCAGCACTGCGGTAAGGAAAAAACAACCGTGTATTCCTATTTATAGTAATTTACCTATAAGGTATTCCGGGGTACTTTGAACGTGGTATACGGTATATATTGAAATTTGATAAACCAGATCCAAAATAATAAAATCACATGAAGAATTAATAATATTTTCATACTAAAAGTAACCTAAGTGAAAGAAATAGATTAGAACTTAACGGTATATCGAACTTTCTCTGCGTACATCAATCCTTACATAATGCTACTTTTATTTTCATACTAATTTATCCGGTTGGCCGGTTTATCAAATCTTTTTTCTTTTTCCACTATTAAAAAATTTTTTATTCAAAAAAAAAAAATGAATAATTAATAATATTTTTTAATGACGTAGGACAAGACAAATTTGATTAGTAATTTTAAAGTGCTTATATTCGATAAAATAGCATAGAAATAAAATTAATTAATAATTACCAGGGAAGACAGTATTTTAAAATTGAAAATCTGTTGAACATATTCATTCTAGTGGTATGTTATTTTGTTCCTAGCATCGTAAAAAAATCTTTGTTCCGTATAAAATATAAAATTCTTTTGTTAGATAGATAATCATGATGTTCAAATAATGATCCATTCGTTAGAATATGCGTTTGAAAACCGCCTATTCTGAAATATAGCATGGCAATCAGTTATTATGCATATGTCAAATGATTCAAACCAAATAATACGATATCATGATATTAAAGTGATCCGTTGCCACGGGGAATTAATTTAGTGAAGTACAATACACTAAATTCTCCTAATAATAAATAGGCAAAAAGCGAATTAATTAATTATAAGGGGTAAAACTCAATTTCCCGAATGACATTTTCCCGAATGCATTATTTCCCGAAGTCATTTTTTCGATTACCCATTTTCCCGAACTGGATATACATTCCCCTAACATTAATACCCCGACTGAACATTTTATTGGATTTAATAAATGATGTGTAGATATAATCCATTTCATTTTGGCTTGGTATTTCCATTTTGGCTTGGTCATGTGGTGCATAAAAATGATTGACTACCAAGAGATCATTTAATTACAAATATTTAATTACAAATTTAAAATAAAATAATATCAACTAACAAAAGTTTTAAATAAATAAATATAAAAATACGAGAACCATAAAAAAATCACATGATCTACTAAGCAAATGAAATTTCTCGATCACGTTGATTTGGCCAGCATTACGACGCTATGCACTAGAGGGACGTGACGCCCAGGAAGAATTAAATCGTGATCACGTGATCGAGAAAATTGAAAATGGCATTAAAAAAAAAGGTAGACAACTAGCTAGTGTTAGTGCATACAGCAAATATTGTACATAACTTGACAAATATCAATAAAATTCTTGACGTAATAATTCATTAATCCTTGTTATTATTTATTGCCATGTATATTATGTAAATCAAAAAAAAATATAATTTAGATATGCATTCAGGAAATGAGCATTTAGTAGAAAAATGATTTCAGAAATGGTACATTGGGAAAATGGCATTCGGGAAAAAGTCCGACAAGGAATACGAAGTTAACAACTCATACAAAATCATCTATTTGATGACTTTATTTATTAATTTTTTTGAACTATAAAAACACTTTTTTTCAAAAGTATTTTCATTACATTTAGATTTATTTTATATATACATATATAAATTACAATCAATCATAATCAGTTTTATAAACTATATAATTTACACGTAAAGTAATCTTGAGCATTTAGCTTAAGCCAAGAGAAGTGAAAATATTGACGTAATAATCAAAATTATTTAATAATTGAAATTAGACACGTTAAATTCCATTTGAAAGAATAAAAATTCCTCAAATTCAATTCCACATTTTATAGCAATACTCGATTTAATCTTGTTTAATATATCATCATTAATTTCTAAACTTTTCAAAATTTGTAGTGCAAGATCATTGTTATTTATGAAAGTAAAAAAAGTGGTAACTATGTCCTTGTTACATCTAGTACAAATTTTATTTGGGTCTGCAACAGCAATTGAATCGATTAATAGATTACCAGTAATAGTAATTGGCGATGAAGGTAAATCAAAAACAGTTGTCATGGTTTCGTTCCAGCAGAATACTTTTTCATTCTTGTAGCATATCATATCTCTAATCGCAGGATAAAGGGCGATAGCGTCAAATATAAATTGTAATAATTGATTTCTAGAGAGGTCGGATTCACATCCAACCTTTATAGCTTCAACCATGTTTTCAATTCCTTTATCACTACACCTTGGAGAAGAACAAAGTCTTTCGGAAAAATTTACAAGTGGTTCTTCAAGAATAGGTTTATAATTATTATGTGGATCGGATAAAACTTTTCCTATAATTTTGGGGTCGGTTAAAACTGATACATGAGATAATAAACGTTGGAATGGTATACATTTAAGGAATTCTGGACCAGTTGCAATGTCAAATAAAGTTTTTTGACATTGTGGAACGATTGACCCTATTACAGGGTTAAGTTCTTGAATTGTTTTTTGAGATGAAAGAGCAAACCCTAAGCTTGCTGATGCAATAAGAAGAAGTGTAACAAAGTTAATTTTCTTCATTTTCGTTATTTCGTTAAGGTTCTTAAAAATGAAATTTGTCTTTTTTTTTTTGTTTGTAGAGTATGTAGAGTATATAATCTAATGTTGATCCTAAGAATTTTATTATTGGATTAGAAAGAAACTGCTGAAAAATATATATATATTTTAATATTGATTTTATTAATTTGGACTTATTTTTAATAGAAATTCACCTGATTCATCAACTCAGATTAACATGAAGCCCCTCACTGAATAGTATATTAGTATTAAAATAATCATGATTAATATGCAGCCGATTATTTCTCCGTTCTCCGTATTCAGGGGCCCCTGTATAATAAAGACTTTCTAAACATAACGAATCAGTCTTCAATTGGAACGTTTCTGACTAAAGATCATAAGAGTATCTTACTTAAAAAATTCAAAGTGAATTTATAACCATCTCCATTGAAAAAAACATATTGTATTATTTTAATTAATTTTATTTGGAATTTTGGTGATCTGAAGCTAAATTTTTAAGTAATAAAAATTTTTTCATATGATATTGTATATAAATCTTTTTTTTAAAAAAAAATTTTAGGATATGTTTTAAGGTTTGGATATCTTAATTTTCAAGGTCACCTTATTTTCTTTTTTTTTTTTGCGAAGTGACATTATTTTTTTTAATATTGACTAATATATAAAATTTTCTAATACAAATTTATACATAAACCCGTTCATATTATAATTTCGGTCAATGGGATATAATTAGAAAGTTCAGATTTCGAATAGATTTATTTTTCAGAGGTTCCTTAACGTACGCACTGGCCCAAGATTGGGAGTTATGCACTTACACGTGATAACGTTAAACTTAACTTCCCGGCCAGTGCGTACGTTAATATCGTGTAAGTTAAGGATGCTCTATTTTTCAATCTTCCGAAAGATTAATTCCAAATTATTCCAAATTATTCCAAATTAAAAAAATTACATTTCAGAATTATAGGCCAAAGAAAAAGAAATTATTCTAGAAATAGAAAAATATTAAATCAAGTTAGAAAATTAAAATATATTATTAATTAAAAAGTCGAGGGATTAATTATAGCGAGAGAGGTTCAAGCGGTATTCTATACTGTGTAACGTAAATTCGTAAACGCTTTGAGATCGTTCCTAAAATTTGACCAAAATTAGGATGCGAGATGATTTTGCAAAAATTGAGGTGATAAAGAAAATTTAAACAATCAATCTGAAGATTGTATAATGAATTGGAATTCGTATCCGCTATTTGTCGAATACTTAATTCTGATGCTGTGGAATGTAAATGGTCGATAAGTGATCGATAACACTTATTAGTAATAAAATTTACGAAAGCCTGATTATGCAAATGAAAACATAGCTGAGAAAATTATGATAATAATAGTTGAATAACAGATTAATAAAAGTAAGGTTTGTAATAATTAAAAGAAAATTTATACAGTATAAAAATTACTTTTAGCAAAATTTTTAAACGATGGAATAGCCGGTAAAGTAAATGATTGGTCAGAGGTTCAGAATTAAAGGCGGCACTTCAATTACTGTAAGTGTGATTGGTGGAATAACAGTACGAGTACTTTGAATTTTTCTTTTTATAAAAATTTTGCTTATTGAATTTAAATTTAGTAAATTTAGTAAAAATTTTACAATGTATAAGACTAATTTTAACCCAGGGTGATTTAACCTGGGTGAATTTTATATAATTATATAATTTTGCCCAAATTTTCAAAAAAAAATGTAAATTATGATTACAATAAAAAATGAGAGACATTGTCAAAAATATAAGAAAAATTGGTCATTATACTCTATAATATCCAAATAAATAAAATCTATATAAAGTAAAATGAATAATAACATAAATAATTTTCTTTTAAAAAAAAATATTGATGTAAAATATAAATTTTAGGGGTGGGGTGGTTTAACCCAGGTAATTTAACCAAGGGGGCAAGTTATCAAAACTCTTTGTTAAATATCTATTTAATATTGCAATTTGCAAAGTATATAATTTAGAAATAAATTACGTTAGATAATACCTATCAAATTCTGATAATTATATTATTGTTTGGGGCTCAGTTTATTTCACCAACAATTATTTCACTGACAGTCAACTTACCTACAGCGAGTTTCATTCCACCAAAAATCAATTTCACCTGAAATCATTTCATTTTTTTAAAGATCAAAGATAATAATCACAAGATTTTTTTTATTTAATATTCTTTATAACTAATTTTATTAATAAGAGTTAATAGAGTCCTTTATCCATATTATAATTATGTTACATACATTAAGTATTTTTATTTAGTTAACTTATGAAATTTCTATGATATAAAATACATTTTAAAGTACTTACTAGTATTTATAATAATTATTTGTTATTATATTATTACGTTATACAGTATTATTTAAATCATCATTTCACCGAAAAAAGTTGATAAAAAGATTCCAAAATAACGGTTCTAAGATTACGTTCTCGACTTCTCGTTCGATATGTATGAAAATTAATTGTATTGAGTTTAGGAAAATATCAGTTAAATTTCTTTGATTTTTTTTCTCGTTTATATTACTGTTATTTTATGATTTGTAAAAAAAAAAAAACTTAACTGCTGAAAAATATATGGTTATATTTCTTATTTAACCTATAAAAACGGTAAAATTATAAAGAAAATGTATTTTCCCATAGTAAAACTAAAAAATAATAACACAGGGTGTAAATCATCAATTTATTTATATAAAAATGCTAAGTATATTATATATATTGAAATTCTAAGTAAAAATATATTTAATAAGTATGATAACTGTAAATATAATAAATATAATATATGTGATATATTACTGTATATGATTTATATATATATTTATTTACAAAATTTAATTTTACCGACCTTTCAACTTTCCAAATACCATTTATCCAAAATGTGGTATTGTTTTTTTGACTTAAACATACCAGGTAAGTTTCGAATTTTACAATAATGAAAAATAAACAAGTTGATTCCTGGTATTGCTGGTAATCATATAACTTGTCGCACGCATAAAATTGTACTACGTTGCTACAATACATTCGGTTAGAGATTATAATACGAATTTGTATCTCTGGCTAAACCTTGATAAATTTTCTTAACATCGGGTGCTTCAGAATCCCAGTTTACTGAAGTTATACTACGAAAATAATCATGAGAAATCGGTAATATATTATTATTAATCTGCATATGAAAGATTGTTGTTGTTCTATATATATTAAATGCGTTAAATTTTCTACGTGGTCTACGTTGTCTATTAATCGTTAATAATCTAACGATATCCTGAATCGTTATAAGAGGCGGAAAAGGCGGACGAATAGCTGCCCGAATTTGAACTCCGTAGTTCATTATGAAGATATGCGAATAGATATAATATTAAAAACGTAATCTTTTTTTCTTTAAAAAAAAAAAGAAAAAGAATTGTATTGATTTGTTTAACTACGAACACGTATATTTATACTCATTTAATTAGATCTAACTTAAATAAAAACTGAACAAATGCGTCAAATGCGTCCAATTGTCACACAATCGTCGGGGAATGATAATGAAACAAACCATTGTTATTTCTTTTTTTAATATGTAAATTAATGTAAATTATAAACAATAATTACTTAATCATGTTAAAATATTTCGTAATTAAGTGTAAAAAAAAACACGCATTTACTGAAAAAATTATTATTAATTTTCTCAATTGACACGCTCATCATCTCTTTTGAATTTTGTATTTCCATAACAATAATTAAATTGATCACGGTAATCAAACACTCTTTTCCTTTTTCTTAAGCACTTTACCAAATATTACTTTTAGGTACGGGTTTACTTAATTTCCAATCGATTTTCTGACCACGTGTTTATTCTAGAGATTTCTAATCTAATAGAACTTGTTCTATCTAACGAAAGTTTTTCCGAGATACAACGGTCATCATCCACATTAATAATCACGGAAATCTTCTATCTTTATATCTACTATTACAAAATTTAACATTCATTTGCGGGTAAATTCGGAGAAAATTTACGACTGGAAAATTTTTTGTTATCGTACAGAGACACACTTATCTTTACACGTAATAGTTTCTTTTAAAACATGTGTTTATCTTTCACACATAGATACTAAATAGATCCACTTAAAAGGCTGTGGGGATACAGTATTATTAAGAAATAACATACGATATGAATGTTCTTTCAAAGGGTGTAGGAATTAAAATGTTTGTTGTACAGTCACCGAGTACAGTGCATTTTCATGAAGATCTAAACATAATTAGTGTGACAATGAAATTCCTATTTTTACCCGGAATTAGATTTCCGTCAATTTCCGGGTCCTTATCATAATATTCATAAGAATTAAATGTTCATTTAAGTAAATTATCAATAAAATCAAATTTTTAATAGTAAACATTTAATATACACGGAAAAGTGTTATCAAATTAAGTTGATTATTAGAAGATGAGGTAAAATGATCCTTTATCGATAAAGAATAAGAATTTTGGATTTCTACCGGAGTTAGAATTCCGTGCATTTAACTTTACTATTTCAATTTAAGAAATTCTGACTAAGATGTGTTTATTTTGGTTAAATTACAAAGTAGCCTTGCATTTATGTAACATCACGAGGACTGATAATGATTCATTGGAACTATAACTTAAATAGTTTCGGAATAAGTGAATAAGTGGTCCGTGTTTGTATTACGCTGCAATCTTTCACTTTTTGTAACATCAAATATCTTTATACGATTTTTCCCGATTTACAATAGAAATTTTCACTTACGATAGTAAATTCATATGAATATCCCATCTGCTATTATAAAAATGTCAAATTTTCAAAATCACTACTTTTTTTTTTCTTTTATTACATTTTTTTTAAATTTTTTTTTTTTTTTTTTTTTTTTTT